GAGGCCAACTGTCCATCAGAACAACTGCTGAAAACACCAGCCAAACCGAGCTCTCTTGGTCCTGCCCCTTGTTGTCTCCACCCTCCACATCCTTTCCAGCCTGGGAACCATCTCTCCTAGTTTCCTCCTCTCTTGCCCTCTTTTTTTAATCCTCCTGACAAAACCTTAAACAGTTTAAAAGCATCCCCAACGTGGACGAGTGAACGCAAATGTCTTAGCAAATGTGTATTTGAGCTCCACATGCTCCCAGGGACGGCGTAGTAATAAAAACCAATTAGATAACACTCAGCAGTTACAGTGAGAGGGAGTGGTACAATCTTACCACAACTAATAGGGTTTTTAATAATAGATAGGTCTCTCTGTGCAGTGCTGGAGAAGGGAAGCCAAAGTGGTTTCAGTTACATTGCATCTTTCTGCCCAGTGAATTTGTGTGGAGGATTAATATTCTGTGAAAGTGGGGATTAACTCACCCTCCATGCTTACTGCTTGTACCGAGAGATCCCTGCAGGGTCAGGTCTGGGCTCCCTATGATGGTGCAGAGTGGGGGAATCTTATGGGCTCACACCCATATATCCTCACAAGGGGACACCAAGTCCTACAGGTACCAAGTTTTGAGCAGCTCAGTAATGAAGAAGCCACTTCTTCCGTATGCCTGAAGTGGGTCAGTATCAAGGGCAGGGTGCCACAAAGCCCCCTGCCTGCATCCCTTCCCGCTGCCTTCTGTTTACAAACCTTCACTTCATGCCTCCTTGCTCAAAACACAAACAAAAGCCATGGAGGGCATTTTCTTGTTGTCATAGAAACAGTTATTATAATATCAAACTTACTTAATTCATCATTCTTCCCTCTCCAGTAACTTGCAACAGCTTGGTGTTTGATGAGAAGGCTACACTGTGAGAGAAGGAAAAGGGCAGGCAAAAGAGCCCTGACAGCTTCATATCCTGCCCTTAAGATCTAGCACCTCTGCAGTTGCCCATAATCTCCTTTCTATAAGTATAAAAATTCTTTCTTTCTTTTCTTCTCTTTTCTCCTTCTGCCTTGTTTTCTGTTCTTTGGAGTGTCACATCATTTACATTTATGAAAGAATTTTCCAGGGGATGCAGAGATAGTTCAAATTGTCTGTGATCAGATCAACCTTGTGCATAATACATTTGTATGAAAATAAACTCCCTGGGGCCCACACTCGTGGCTGAAAGTCTCTGTAATGAAGTATTTTACTCTAATTTAGTTAAAGATGATGGAGATAGGAATGAGTGAATGCCTGCATGCATATAGAGGAAGGGAAGACAGGCAGGATACTACACACACACAAAAAAGCCAATAATTATAAGATTGCACGCTAGCTGGGAATACTACTGAAGTACCTCGTTATTACAAGAAGTTAACTTCTCAACTCTTCCTTCAGAAAATCAGTCCTTCTCTATAGGACTTATTACAGACAAGGTCTGGACAACATGCTAGCCCCCAGAAGGGTTAGGCAGAAAACTAATTTCTATCCCATACCACTTATTAATGTCATTCCCATACCACTTATTAATGTCATTCCTATTCCACAACCAGACCGAGCCAAGACCACACTGGGATAATGACCTTCCCTGCTCCCCGCTCTGTAACAAATGTGAAAGCATGACCTCACCCCTCTGCAACATTAGCCTCTGTTTTCCAGCCTCTGCTCAATTCCATTCAGAAGGATGTCTTCCCCATAGGGCTCCTTCCCATGTCTCCGGTCCCAGCTGAGAAATGTGGCTTCCAGGTTCCTGGCTACTACTGTGTGGCCTCGCTGGCTTGGTGTGGAGGTACTTAAACCTGGAAATGTGAAACTGTTCCTGGCAAAACCTTGCAGAAATGGTGACAATTCCACACAAGGTTTCAATTAACTGGTATTTTCTACGGATAACACTTTTGCCTGCACACAAAAATATCAAATATCAAAAGATCTGACTCCTAACAAAGCTTGCATGATGTCAATGAGCCTTGGATCAAGTCAAGCACAACTGCAGACAGCTGCGTTCTAGTACACTTTGCCATTGACTTGCTATGGTACTTTGCATAAACCTCTTCTCTCTGTTTTGTTTCCCCAGCTGTTCCATGATGGACAAACTTACCTCCTGCTCAACAGTAAACCATGAGATTTCACAGATCAGCCTGCCAGGGTTCCAGCCACAGACTGAGAATACCAAAGGACATCCTCAGATGCACCAGGTATGGAGAGGACAGGAAGGGGACACCAATTTGCCACTGCTTCAGTTCCAGAGGATCATGTCCTCCAACTTCTTTATTCCATCACTGCAGACCCAGTACTTCCCCATCTTTGAGGGATATGAGAAAAATGCAAATTAAAGCTATCAAAGGACGGGAGAGGGAAAGTTGTAGAGACATTGAATGCTAGGAGTTCCTGATAAGGTGTACAGGAAATGGCATGATTGAAGGTGCACAAGGAAAACCTGTCTGCAGAAGGCAGACAGCATTCCTAGCCAGGATTTGTTGTAACTGTACATTTCCCTGAAAAATTTTGTTGAGTGGATCTGCTTCAGATATCATTGGTGCTGTGCAGGAGTCTCACATGTTTAGATCAGGATGAGTACCCCACATTTTTTTCCAAAGGCTATGTCACATGGGAACAATAGAAAAAAAAAAAAAAACCAAACAAAAAACCAGAAAAAAAACACAAAACAACAACTTTCTAGGATGTGGATGCAGATCTATATGTAGTATTGAAGTACTAATTTTACCTGACTCTTTTTTTTTTTTTCCCCATTTCTTTACCCTGGGGTAAAAAAAAGAATCAACTCTTCTTCCTAGATAGGCATGGAAAAAATTCACATGTCCCAGTGAAATCTTGATCTTCCACCTGGAGAGAGACATGATCAGCTCTTCTGAAACTACACAAAATACACCTTGAAAATGAAGGCAAAGGACTAAATCCATTCCTGGCAAGAAGAAGGTGCAACTCCCTTTGAAGCAAGAGAAATCAGTGCTGCTGAATTTGTCTGAGGGAGATAAATACTAATAACCAGTCCTTCCCAGAGGACAATCTGATAACACTGAAGTTGACACCCACAAACGTCAGGCAGGATATATTTCCTCCTGTGTGCCAGTATCTAAGCTTATCACCCTATTTGCTTCTTCTCTCCCAAGTCATTTCCCAGGGTCAAAGGCTATCGTGGGGCTCTAATTAGAATGCCATCATAATGAGCTGACACTTAAATCAGCCTGCCAGTGGCTAAAGAAAATTAACCTTAGAGTCAAATGAGCTCCAGTCTGGGAGTTCATGTCACGAGGGGGCAACAGACACTTGCAGAGCTGATGTGCATGGTGGAGACACAGAGAGCTAAACCCAGCATTCCTTTTAACCAGGAGATCTACACTGGGAAAATCACCTATCCTAGCTGTCTCTGGTGCACAAATAAAACAGTTTCCACTGAGCTTTGTACCCTGTGCTCACTGTGCCAAGCCAAGGAGAAGTCAACAGGAAGAGGGTACCCAGGACAGCAACTTCTTTTGGGCTCCTTGAGAAAGGATACAGCTTGAGCTCATACACACCTATAAACGTGTCACATGTGATAAACCATATCAGTTGCCATGAATGACTTTGTAATTATGACTGTGATAATTACATTGTTATTATGCAAGGGCTTAGACTGCAAATAAGGGCAGGTGTTTCATCCAGCTCAGGCCCTGTAAAGCTTAGAAAACAAATAAACAGTATGAGAATATCCCTTGCTGGTTAATAAATAGGAGGATTCACAAGGATGAATATACACAAAGGAATAATCTCACTCCTAAGCTTGCACTTTCTCTTTGCCACTGGTGCCCCTGCAACTGTACTGCCCCTTCCTACATGCATTTTGCTCCTATTTCTCCCTGCACCATCTTTTGGCAAAGCTCACAAAAATGCTGTACTGCCAGTGAGTTTTGAATACGTTCTGCACAGTCAATCATAGTTTTTCCCCAGTGAACCCAGATATTCCCTTTAGTACCATTTTTCTTTGCATCCTGAAGGCACCCAGTAACCTAGAGATCTAATCCACTGTGTGTTACTCACAGGTACCAGAGAATCCATGAAGACTTACTGCCCTCCTTAGAGCTGAACTGCCAGTGCTATAATTTCCCATGACATCTCTTTTATGTCACTGCACTTGACAAATACCTTGCGCCTCTCCACAGGTATTTAGAAAATCCTGCCAATGCAGGCATACAGAACACACAAATGGACATAACATCTCCATCTATTCAAGACAGAGCTGTGCAGCAAAACCAAGAGATTTTGCTAACCAAATCTAGCCACAGAGCTGCCCTCATATAGCAGATTCAGCCCTATCTTCCTTGCCACAAGAGGACATATTTTCCTTCAATTAAGATCAATACATCTCAGAGGACAATTTAAACAACCCTCAAATCATTCTCAGTGTGTTTCTAGTACAACCATGACTGACCTTTCTCTAAAGAGGAAGTATCCAATTGAGAACCTTGGGAGAAGACTCTACCCTTACTGCATCATAAAGTTTAAAATGGGACCAACTCTTTCAGAGTCAATGCAGCAATAAGAAATTTACAAAAAGGATGCTAAACAGTAGAATTTGTTGCAGGGTCATTTCCTAAAAGGAAATCTGAAGCCCCTTTCTTTTGCAAAAGTATCCTATGAAACACTTGCTTCCTCTGTTGCCAATGACACCTTCAGCTAACTGTTCCTGAAAGACTGTCCAACACCTCTGTGAATTCTTCTCCAGCTAAGGTCCTTGTTTATTTCAGGATTTGACTGCACTACAAAGGTCGAGTTGCTTCCTTCTTAAGAACCGTGAAAGTCCAATGGGCTCAGTGTTACCGCTTCCAAATTAAAGGGCTAGGAATTTAAACTGTTAAACCCATCTTCCACCTCCTGTAAGGTCCTCTGAGGTCTTCATGCCATAGGGACTGTGATACACAAGTACAAAAAAATCAGAGAGTAGTTATCGTGATTTTTTAAACCTAACATTATTTGCACAAGGGTACTTTAAAAATGGTATCATTTTCAGTTTATGTTCAGCTATAATTTGTTGTTTTGAAAGTATTCCTAAATTGCAGGATTCAGACACAAGTCATTCATTTTCTATACCTGCTTAAGCGTTCATGTTCATGTCCCATGAGGCTTCAAGATGTCCATTGGCTTTCTGTTGTTAGGGTTTGCTTGTTCATTTGGTTTTTTTGTTTGGTTTTGTGTTTTGTTTGTTTTTTAAAATAATGCTATTAACCCATGGAAGGAGTTATAATGAAAAGCATGAAATTGTAACTTTTACCTTGACCCAAATGTCTTGAACATAGAGGCAGGTAACAATAAGGACAGTGTGCCTCACTCTTTTTGTCAGGCACAGACTGGGGAAGACAGTGCTGACTGTTTCTAAGGTATATGGTAATCTGTAAGACAGTCTCATGTTTGGGGCAGCAAGACAACTGATTTTGAGATGGGACATTTCTGAATATCAGCTTTGAAAGGAAAGTAATTTTAAGGCTTTTTTTCCCCCTTGTAGCTTTCTTCTTCACTCACCAAATGTTGTAATATATGGATCCAACAGATGGTGTGATCTCTTCTTCCCTCTCTCCCCTCAAGTCAAAAAGAAAAATAGTAAATACCACTATAAGCACTTAATGCACAAATAAACCATTGCAGTATAAGAAAGAGGAACTTGTGACACTTCAAAATTCAGGCACTTCAAAATAAACAAGATGTAAGAAAAGACAGGTCCTCATCCGAGTCATAGTTCCACACAGAAAAGTGGCATCTCTTTGTCTTCCTTCTGACAAGAAACCGTTTTCTCCATTCTCCCAAATAAACCTCAGGCTATTGGAACACCACTGACATTTTCTTTAAAGAGTTTTTAATTAAAGTAACAAAGTATGCCACATTCAGTATTTGTCAGGCATTAGGAAAGGCTACTAAAATTACCACTGAGAGGTCTATTAAATATCATCATGCACTCCCAGAGTAACCAATTACAGACAGTGTGAAAGGTTCTCATTCACTCATCCTGAAAAATCCTTTAACTTTTCTTTATTTACTTGCATCAAATAACCAAGGTTAACAACATGTTGCTATTCAGTACCTGTCCTGCAGAACAGGCAGGCATTGCCCCACTGCCCCCAATAGCACCAAACAGTTTGCTGGCATCTTGGAGCTGAGGAGCCAACCTGACAAGATTTCTGTTACTTTTTTTTTTTCTTTTTGTTTATCCCTCTGCCTTCTATACATGATGTTCCCTGTTTGCTTCACTTGGACACTTGGGCAGAGGCCAGGGGAATACACTGAACTTGGAAATAAAACAGGTACTCAGCAATCCAAATCCAAAAGCTTGAGCTACTTAGAAAACTGCAAGCCCTTTGAGAAAATCCCAGGAAAACCTTCCTGATCCACATTTGAACAGCACCTCAGGGAGCAGAATGATGCTGGGTAGCTGCTGTAACTGCTGGCTACAGTGACTGCCGTAATTAATACAGAAAATGACTTGGAAATGAAATTTTCTTTCAGTAGAGGATGGCATCAGAACAAAACTAACGATGGTGGTTTGTTGGGTGGACAGAGTAGGAACAAGACTTGTGCCATTCATCATGGACCTTTTATTCAGTGCAAAAGGAAGTCACCTGCTCCCAGACCCATGTCTCATGCCAGTCACATCCAGGCGCACAGAGTATGCCCAGATACATACTGTTGGGCTTGCTAACGGCAAGGTCAGACAGAGTGACCTTGAAGCCACCCAGGGAGCACTCAAAATTCAACAGAGACATACCCAGACACAACTGGTTGCTCCCCATACTTTTCCATTGCCCAGAGCAAGCACCAGTATATTGCTCATCAGTGCAGCCCAGCTGAGAGGGCTGACCATGAGGAGAACAGCCGATGTGCTGATTCAGTCTAAATAGGACTTTCCAGCAGGAATCTGGAGCAATCACAGTGAATGATGTTGCTGCTCACCTTGTGCACGAGATAGAGCAGTTTCCCCACTGACCTTTTCAGTGCTTATGAGGAGGGCAAGCATTTCAGCACCTACACCACCTGCGAATTTGGTATTCCCCTCAAGGATATAAAAAATTAGGTCAGAGGTTTTTTTCTTCCCCTTGCATTCCTGCAAAGCACATTAGAGCTCAAATCCTCAAGACAAAGCATTATTATTATTGTTGTTATTTTTTTATGGTGGAAAAAAATATTAATGTTACAAATAGCTGCCATTAGCAGAAGCAGAGCTGCATATTAATATGCACATGGGTGTCTCCACTGTCAGGAAGCAGAGAGGCCCCAGAGGCCCTGCTTTCACTGGGGAAAATGATGATGGCATTAGCTCTAATGATAACGATAAGGGAGCTGCCATAAATGATTTGACGATTTCTTTCATATTCCTGTTCGGGCAAAGACTTCTTCCTTGCTCCCCAGTGTCCACAGAAGGATGCTGATGGAACAAACGGCAGCTCAACTGATTTATTTAATTTCACCACAGCTTTAGGGTTTTCTTAAAAGTGCCAGCATCTTGGGTCATGTGACTAAGGAATTCATTTAAATCCTTTCAGCTAAATTGCTAATGGCCAAGATTTTGGAGAACCAGCTACTAAATAAATGGAATTCCACATTTATTTATGATTTTTAAAACCTTGAGTCTTTTTGGACTAAGGATACTATTATATCAAAGGACAGCAGGAGATACGAAGGAAAAAAAAAAGAGATATGAAAAAAATAACCCGCAAATAAAGTTGTCTCTGATGTAACATGTTCTCAACCCAATCACAGCCTGCCTCTCCCTTCACTTACTTTTGTCCCTGTGTATGCATTTAGGATGCAACAGCAGAACTTTGTGACTGTGCTATGAATCAGATAAGAACAGATCTGGCTGAAGAGTAACAAAGCAAAAGAGAGCACTGAGGGGGACTTCCTACAGAGAGGCTTTGGATGTGCTCAGCAGCACACACCTGCACAGAGACATGCTGGTACAGATGAGAGGGCAGAAAAGCGTGGGCTAGGCTGCTCCTCTTACTGAGAAAATGCACACTGGACTACAGAAAGAGATGCAGAGGGAAGATCTGGGTTCCTGGGACCCATGTGTCAAGACACTGTCACACCCTGTTTTGGCTCTTCCAGCTGAGATTCCTGTTTTTCTTTAGGCCAGAGGGAAAGCTGAAATTGCTATCCCCCAGCTGTGACGTTGAGGCATTGGTTATGCAATAGGACTTGGCTACAACAAGTGCAAAAGCATTTCTTTGCTGAACTCTGCATCTGAACAGGGACACAAGATGATTCTCTCTGGCTCTGTAGCTTCTGAACTAATTACACAGCTTTGTGAGATGCCACTGCACAAGGTGTCTCTTCTCTGGAATTGTCTGTCATGGCTACAATGTGCAACAGGGATCTGAATACATTAAAGTGTCAAGGAGGTGGGGATTCTAGGTTTTGGTCTGTCAGCTTCTGTGCTGAAAACCCTATTGAGTTCAGCTAATATACTACACTATCCGCTTTTCGGTTTTCCCGTTTGTTCGTGTGATGTACATCCTGAAGCTCATCAGAGGGAAATGTCAGCTTTACACCAGCAATAACATTCTTTGCAGCAAACTCAATCCAAACAGACGAGCCAAAGACACAAAGAGCCCTACAGAAGACGCAAAGAGCCCTACAGAAGACTGCCCCAGATAAGATGGCCAGATGAAAATTCTTGATACAGAGAAAAATCCAAAGGTTGGCATGCACAGGCCAGTAGCACAGGTGTTATGGAAAGACAGCCTGCCCCACTCACATGCTTCAGGATACAGGGCACAAGCCTCACAATCTGCCTCTCAGGTAATATCTGCCCCAGATAATACAACAGCAAATAGAGGCATCTTTGCATTACAAAACAGCCATACTTAAGCTGCAAAACTGGTGGACTCAAGATGGAAGACATCAGGGTACTACAAAACATAAATTCTATTTGTTCTTCTTTTCTGTTCCTTACTCTCTTTCCCTTAGACTTAGTTGAGTGTTTCAAGCTAGTATCTCAAACTCAGCCCTCACATAGCTTCTTAAACGCTTATTATTCTATCTGGTCTGCTCAGAAGAATGTTTTCTTATCCATTTCCTTGTTTGGAAACCGAACCTCAGTCATCCAACAGAATTCCTCTGCAGAGACAGCAGGACTATCCCAGCATGAATGGAACATAATGGTGACCATGCTTGGGAAATGCCACATTACCATAAACCTCCACTTTTGGACATAACCAGAACAAAGGGCAGTTTTGTATTTTGCTAGCTAAACTCAGTAAGGTAGTGCAGATAATCTAGAAAGCTTCTCTAAACAGGGGCTCAACACTACAATTGTAAGCAGAAGCACATACACACACTGCACAAATGATATAAATTAAAACCAGCTATTCAATACTGTCTCCTACTGTGAAAAGTTAAAAGAATTAAACTAATATATGAAGTCTGTTTGATGTTTCTGTACAACTAGACTTTATACGTATACACAAAAGTCTGTATTTCACTTGCACTTGGATTTCCAAACATGTAATTTGCTGGTCTCCCACACCAGCATTATGTGGTCTACCACATAATGCCTGTGGGCTTAAAAAGAGGAGGAGCAACCCTGAATCATACACTGTTTGCATGATCCTGGAAGCCAAATGCACAAACCCAAAGCTATTCTCTGGAGAGCTGTAGGGCTCAGCATGTAACAAGGTAGATGGTATAGAGGCAGCTGTAAGGAACTTGAAAAGCCACAGAATGAACTGCAGCTTGCTGCATGCTAAGTCCATACAGACATAAATCTTGATTTCAAATGTTGTCATCAAGACTTCAGTGCCAAGTGGAAATAAGAGTGATAAAAATATATTTTCAGAAGCACTTTGTCAGGCTCGGGTCATGCACCACAAGAACGTGGTGTCTGAAAGGGGAATCAGCCTGGCAGGCACACTTTCTACAGCCTGCTGTTCCCACACAACTTGCAGTTGTACACAGGCACTGCAGTCACCACAAGACAGGAATTGTACAAGTGCCTGTTCCAAGACCAGCACACCCTTCTGGCACCCATGCTAAAGAGAGAATGCATAGGTAATGCTCAATGATCTCATTATAAACCAGCCTGGGGGAGAGGAATAGTGACAAATAAAGATTAGATACGCTTTTGACTGCAGATCACATTCCATTAGCCCAGGCCAGGATAGCCATGTACATATCTATGCTGTAAGCACCGCAACACAGGCAGTGATTTACTGACAAGGTATAAAGCAATGCAGCTTAACCATCCCAATCACTGGATCACACAGTCACAAGACATCTCTTTTTCCAACATTTTTTCTAGCAAAGACTTACGAACAGACAAGAGAGCCATGAACACCTGAGGGTGGACATCCTTCACTGTGGCCTCTGAGCCAAGGAACACATCACCTTCTCAGTCCATCATGCCCCAGTCAACCGGTACTCTATGCATAGGAAAATCAAAGCTTCACTTACCTAGAATACAAAAAGAGAGAGAAAATATGGTTAGTGGATATCTCTGAAACATACAGATGCTGCTTATCTTTATTTCCCAGGTGATTCCTACATCCTGGCACCTTGTTAGGAGATTCCTGACATATTAAGAAACAGGA